TATATATACATACACATATATGTTCGCGACTCATTTGAGATGCGTTTGATATTTCATATATGTGCAATATGTATGAATTGTAATGAAAATATACATATGGTTTGTAGTTGATATATACATACACACACACACACACATATATATAGTGTTACTATTCATCACTCAGGTTGCAGCATAAGTTATTCTTCACCCGAGGTAATCTTACGTTCATTTTATAATTAAATTACGTTTGGAATTCGAATAGTTACATTCCTATTGATTCACTAGGTAAAATTTGACATAAGAAATTAAAAATATATGTCATAAAATAAGGAAAATTATAGTTTATGTGTATTTTAGACTATGTTTTTACGTTTGTAATTTTACATAATATAAAATATTTTTTACGGCAATTATATTTTTTTTTACGGTCCTTTTTTGCGTCGGAAATAAGACAAAACTTACGGAACGTAAAATTATGGGGTATTGATGATAAAATAGAGGGGGGTGAAGAATAACTATTACTACACCCAGGATGACGAATAGCGCGACCCTATATATATATACATATGGGCTATTCTGTTACGCGTAACAAAATATTATTCTGTTACCCTACTTGAACTGATGAATTCAAGCGGTTCAAGTGATGAAATTCGAGCGGTTGAACTGATGCTTTCTGTTGCCGTTAAAAATCGCCTTCTTTAGTTCAAATTTTTTTGCAATTTTTTTTATCGAAACAGAGTGTGTAATATATCGTTGGAAAGCTCTTGACATCCACATTACAATCTTATAATTTGTTTTTTGCAAAAAAAAATGATTTAAGAGCAGTTTTGAAAAAACCGTTTTTTCAAAACCGAAAACGTGAATCGTATTTTCGACTTAATTTTTAAATGGTTTGTCAGAATTGAGCAAATGAGATGGCGTTGGAAAGCTTGTGAAAAACCGCATCTTCCATATATCTACTATTTTTTCAAATTTTATATGATTTAAAAGTAATTTGAAAAACGGTGAAATTCTGGACGAAATGTTTTTTCACTGTTTTTTGCAAACGGTTTGCTGGATTGACGCAAATGATACGGCGTTGGAAAGCTATGGAAAATGCGCAACTTTTGCGTATAGAAAGTTTTTTCTAATTCTTTACGGTTTAAATACGAATTCAAATACGGTTAAAATTGGTTTTGAACGCGGTTTTTTTTTAAAGTTTGTCGAAATGGGGCAAATAATATACCGTTGGATAGCTATCGAAAATGCAAAGCTTAGTCATGTTGAACGTTTTCTCTACTTCAAAACCGTTTTAAAGTAATTTTGAATAAGGTGAAACCCATTGTGTTGTTTTTTCATGTCTAAAAAACAGAGTATTTGTATTGATCTATGTCTATGTTTGTACTGAGGTATTTTTCACAGAATAGTTTTGAATGGTTCCGAAAAAAGAATACTTTGAACGGATGTCTTTATGATTTTGTACTTGCTCCCATCTTTTAAGAGTAATTTTGAAATACGGTGAGACTCATCGTGCTGTTTTTAAGAGTAATTGTGAACTTGCGGTGTTTTTGTAATGCCAATATTGAGGAGAGCAAGGCGAGGACAACGATAGAACAAAGCTGAGTGTGGTGATCGTGGAAGCACTACAGGGCTGAGCCACAATGGTGGTTGATGGCAAGGCGACACGACACGACATGCGGCGGAGAGGCATGGTGACTGGTGGGCGGCGCACTGACATGACACTTGAGATGCGCCTGCTGGACTGACCTCCTTGTCCTATCTGGATGGATCAGTTGCAGAACTTGGATGTTTTCTTGGACGTCAATGTCACAGAATACCAAAACCTAACCATCTTTTATTTTCCAAACTGATCGTTGTTTTTAATTCGTACTGATCAATATTTTTGATTCAAACCATTTTCTTGTTCTTGCATGCACATCAAGCTGTCATGTACTATACCTTCTTTGAAGTAGCAATCGTCTCATCATATATAGAATTTTTTTTCACATAAATAATACATGTACATGAATAACATATACACAACACCGACCGCAAATTTTCATACATAAATGACATATACACCACACCGACTGCACATTTTCTTGCTATTAGAAGCCTCTTCAGATTTAATGGTTTGTACTGGGCATAACAAATTAACCAAAAACCGAATTACGAAGGTCAAAGTTCTTGAATTACAGACCAAAAAACAAGCAAAGAAAGGATAGATAGAGGATTGACAGGGTCTAAGAGAGATCGATTGCAATACTCTTTCACTCCATTCACTTGGTAATAGCATGACTGAATAAGTAGTTCAAAAATGAAGCAGTTTTTTCTTTTAGTATCGTTGGGCATGAGCTCCTTGAGGAAGCTTGCGTGGTGGTCCTGCAATTGTGTCGGAGCCGCCTCCAGGTCAGCCCGCAACAGGGTAACTTCTCTGCACTACAACGAATCAAAAGTAGTAAATGCACACATTTTGGACATACAAGCATAATGGAAATTTGCAGAAATAACATGGTGTATCCAGATACAAAGTACTGATGCTTTGGGAACTTTCGAACAGAGAAAAGAATTGCAGGCGGCTCAAGCGTCAAGAGCAGAAGAGCATGGGCTCACCGGGGAAGGAGGTAGACAAACGACAGTGGTTGGCCCAGCCCCCGGCTCACCGACATGCTTCAGTTTGGGCTGGATTCATCAAAGATGTCAAGCTTATAAGCACTGCAAGAACAACCAAGATTGAGAGAATACACTGAGCACCATGTCTAATTCTCAAGTTAGTGGTTGGTCCAATAATATTACGAGGTCAGTGCTTCCATAGAAGTAACGAGATGCAAGCTTAGTTCTTAGGTTACAAATTTGTAAATACTAGTACTGCTACCAGCATTTACAAATACTGGTGAACTTGAACTACGCACACCTACTCAACTGCTCCATGCCACCATCCCGCTGCTCATCAATACACTTGCCGCCTGCTCGTTGTCGTTGGACGTATCCTGCACACACAATAGCCACCAATTAGCATGCACAAGTTCATGTACAGTAACATTACAAATTCGCAACGAAACATAAAAGGTTATGTACTTTGAAATAATTCATTTTACTTTCCAAATACTTCATTCGTTTCAAAATATGAACTTCTATATTTATTTCCTTAGAACTTATTATGATTTCCCTCCGATCTACAAAAACATGATTGGTTTACTTACCCACAAAATACTTGAAGTATGTCAAATGAAAAAACATCCCCAGGCCTGGAAGTGAGAAAACACATTACACTCATCGAGGTAGATATCATTCTGTGCATACCTTGCCAGAGACCACATAGGATTCCAAGATTCTGGATGGACTTTAGCAAAGTGAAATGAGACCTTTTTCTAACCTGAGAACTACAGAAAATTAGCTTGATTTTTTAACCACAGCAAATAAACTCTTAACTACTTCTGGCAAGTATAATTGAACTGATGTGTCCTTTTTCTAGTTACTGAATTGCTAACCACTCCAAATAAACTCTTAACTAAGGCAAGTTTTTTTTGAACTGACCTTTTCCCATGTTTTTTTGGTGTGTGTCTTTTCCCAAATCTTTTCCGACCCTCTTCTCTGAACTTCTATATTTATTTTTCATGAACTTTTTAAGTTACCCTAGTTGAACTTCTAGTGTTTTCTTTCTTTTACTAATTTTGATTTGTCCAATATCATCTCCGTCTGGTAGTTTCCCATCCATCTCACTATCTTCGAACTTTTGGCAATCTGGAACCTAAACTCTCTGTGAAAACACATGCTCCAGTGTAATCTAAGACGCCAACTCAATCAAAACAATCAGTACTACTCACATCTATTAACAACGGCTTGAGATGCTCATGTATAGGCTAGTGCAAGCTACTAGTACTAGGCATCCAGCGTGGTTGGAACAAACAAGATGAAACAAGTGATTTAACGGAGCAGCACTACATGCATGAATAGGAACATCACTATGTACCTGGAGACCGGCCACAACAGCAAGCGACACATGGACTGAAAGCTCAAGTTGGACTGAAACTTACTCGATAACTGAAACTCCCAGGGTGGGGGTGGGATCCAGGGTGCTGCTGGCAATGAACGGCCTGGGGTGGTGGCATTGAACGGCCTGGAGTACGGCAGAGCCCCACCAGGAGATGGCGATGCAAGAAGGAGGTCGGGAAGCAGTGGTGCCAGTTGTCGGGGTCGTCCAATGCTCATGGCACAACAGTACAGGAAGTTGATTCATCACCCATCCACAGTTTTTTCCTTTTTGGAATCCATTGAACTGGAAAAAGCTACAATGTGAGCTGAAAGTATGAAAACAACATAACGTTGACATCCAGTGCAGGGCGGCTACTTGCTCATGTACTATTTTTTTGTTTCTGTTTTTCAATGAACTTATAGGGTTATACATTTTGAACTTATAGATATTTTTTGTTGAAAGTATGAAAACAACATAACGTTGACGTCCTCAGCCAAAGAACACATCCATTAAAGAAACGCTCCAGTCACCGAACATAGAATAGCACATCCAGTTCAAGATTGACTATTGATGCATGCCTTAATAAGCAAGAGCACCAGTACAACATTAGCATAATAGTAGGTAAAATAATAGTACGGAGTTAGCCATCGATGCAAGCTTTTGACAAAGAAACTCGATAGGCACTGTGATTTTGGATGGGCAATGGCGGCGGCACATCTCTAGCGGCCAGCGGCATGCGTTTGTGAACAGGAGAGGCCTATGAACTTTTCCGCTTTCTCAACTCTGAACTTTTTGTATTCTTGCACTTGATCCTCCCCAATATTATTCTAAACTTTTTTAGTGGCTTTTGTTGGTGAGCCCTTCTGTTTCCCTAAACCTTCACAAGGTTTCTTCTCAGTATAAAGAAAACAAGAAATAAAAGTGTTATGTTCACATATGCATTAGAACAAACACCTAGCAAGCATCATTTTTGCAGACCATGTAAACATGACTTTTGCTTCTTTTTGCAAAAGGAGAAATTTTATGCAAGAGTTCTGAAAAAGTTCTCAAAAATTCTGAAAAAAATACTGAACCAACACACCTATAATATAACAAGATCCAACGGAGGGATTAGAAAAATACAACTGTATGTGTCCTGGACAAAAAGAACAAATAGTTCAGTATATATTTATGTCGCAGTGAGCTGAAATGCTTATTATTTTTGCCGAGGACACATAGATGCATATTTTGATAATCCCTCCGTTGGATCATATTATTACATTAGAGAGATGCTCCCATATTTATTTCATATTTTTTTATAACTTTTAAACCGTTAAAAGTTTAGCGAACCTTAACTAGTTCTGTGGCAAGCTATGGTAGACACAGTTTTACCTATATATATATATATATATATATATATATATATATATATATATATATATATATATATATATATTCTAAATTGGACGAAAAGTGGCACATAAAGTTTTGAATTTATACAAATTTTGTGACACGGTCTTGATGTCACAATGAGGTTAGATGCCACATGCCACATGAGTCTGACAACTGGACTCACTATGGGGAAAATGGTCAACTGTGGTAACAATAGAACAATAATACATAACCAGGAGTAAACTGTGGAA